AACTTTGGATAAAGTATTTTTTGTTCTCAAAAGCATACAAATGTTACGCCTGCAAGAAAAAGAAATGTTAGTTATGATTAATTAAAAATTGCCTTCACAATGTTAATCCAGGAACATGTCAAAATCACGGCAACCAATCCAATCCCCTCAGTCGGTGTGGAAGTTCACAGAGAGTTTAGTCAGACCTGTGAGTGCACAAGACATACGCAGCGGTTCTTTATTTCACTGGTTGTCATGGAGATAGCATTGCTTAAGTGGACTGAATCTACGCCATCTCACCTTCCAATCAACCTGACGACAGTTCTTTTCACAAATGTAAAGTAGCAACTATTTCAGACCGAGTGCAGATGTATAAACAGCATTATATCTAAGGTATGATGGAAAAAATACAGCTGTCCTCTAACAAGGTTTTTTTTTTTTTTCAGGAGTTGCTTCCTGTTTGGTAGAAGTATTGAAAAGCATTTTATGTGTGGCTACTAGAATGGTAAAGTGTCTCTTACAGAAACTCAGGGTCTCTACAGTGAAGCAATACTTAAAACAAACAAAAAACTAATAACAACATTAGCAGCAGCATCACTTCTATACTCATAACTGAATGCAGGTGATGCACAAGGGTTAATCGCATGAAACCAGTTGGGTAACATTCATCCCAAAATTAAAATAAATAATTAGCCTATATTTTACATTATGTTTTGCATTAAGAAAATTAAGCACATTTGCATTATTATATCAGAAATTTGGATTATTTTTCCTTAAAAGTCTCATTATGGTAATATTCATACATCAGGTTTAATTGAATGCCTTTAATATATTTTTATATAAATAAAATAGAAAACATTGTATTACAGCTGTCTATTACTGTAATACAAAATTACTGTTTTCATTAGAATAACCATTAAGAATGAGAATTTAAAAACAAAACAAAAACCACCAGATGCATTATGATAATTGAGGGATGGAATGGCAGATAGATAGATGGATAGTCGGATATAGATAGATAGATAGATAGATAGATAGATAGATAGATAGATAGATAGATAGATAGATAGATAGTCGGATATAGATAGATAGATAGAAAGATAGATAGATAGATAGATAGATAGATAGATAGATAGATAGATAGATAGATAGTCGGATATAGATAGATAGATAGATAGATAGATAGATAGATAGATAGATAGATAGATAGATAGATAGATAGATAGTCGGATATAGATAGTTAGATAGATAGATAGATAGATAGATAGATAGATAGATAGATAGATAGATAGATAGATAGATAGATAGATAGGCGGATAGATAGTCGGATAGATAGTCGGATAGATAGATAGTCGGATGGATGGAATGACAGAGAGACAGAGATAGATAGAAATAGAGATAGATAGATAGAGTTGGATGGATGGAATGACAGAGATAGATAGATAGAAATAGAGATAGAAAGATAGATAGAAATAGAGATAGATAGATAGATAGATAGATAGATAGATAGATAGATAGATAGATAGATAGATAGATAGATAGATAGATAGATAGATAGATAGATAGATAGATAGATAGATAGATAGATAGATAGTCGGATGGATGGAATGACAGAGATAGATAGAAATAGAGATAGATAGATAGATAGATAGATAGATAGATAGATAGATAGATAGATAGATAGATAGATAGAAATAGATAGACAGATAGATAGACAGATAGATAGATAGACAGATAGATAGATAGTCGGATAGATGGAATGACAGAGACAGAGATAGATAGAGAGAAATAGAGATAGATAGAAATAGAGATAGATAGATAGATAGATAGATAGATAGATAGATAGATAGATAGATAGATAGATAGATAGATAGATAGATAGTTAGATAAATAGATAGATAGATAGATAGATAGATAGATAGATAGATAGATAGATAGATAGATAGATAGAAATAGATAGACAGATAGATAGACAGATAGATAGATAGACAGATAGATAAATAGTCGGATAGATGGAATGACAGAGACAGAGATAGATAGAGAAATAGAGATAGATAGAAATAGAGATAGATAGATAGATAGATAGATAGATAGATAGATAGATAGATAGATAGATAGATAGATAGATAGATAGATAGATAGATAGATAGATAGATAGATAGATAGATAGATAGATTGATTCACTCTTGTGGTAGGCCCTCCTTAGAAAGAGTATTGCCTCTGTGGCCCCTCCAAATCTTACAAAATTGCTCGCTTAAATCGTTTCTAAATCCCTTCTCTCAATCCTGAAAGGGTCCGAATGTGTCTCTGAAGTTCTTGAGAATCAAGGTTATTTTAAGTCTTGATGTTTTCCTGCTTTTCTCTCTCTCTCTCTCTCTCTCTCTCTCTCTCCCTCCCTGCCTGTTTCTCCTCTCAGCATGTGAATAATGTGAACACCTCTCATTGTCGCTTAGATCTGATCAGCGTCATGCCTGCAACACAAGCGCACTCAAACGCATTTACACTACAGACAGACAGGCAGCTGTGACATAACTGACTTCTATCCGGATCGCTCGAAATCTCGGTTTGTGATTATACGGTAAGAACATTTTTTTTCTCTCTCTTCTTTATCCATAAACCTTTGCATTAAGTATTTGAAATCAAGTAGTATTTGACATCAATTAATGAAACGAGCAGCTTCTGATGAATACACCTTTCATTTATCCCATATGCAAACTGAAGAGAGAACATGTTCTTCCCACAAAGTTGATGGCACTGAATAAGGTTTGCTTAATGCATGGTTAGATCTCTTTTCATTTGTTTCAGTGGTTAAGTTGAAGCAGTGAGAACATTCAGTGCCTTGATTATAATAGAAACACTTTGCAACCTCTTCAAAATCTCAAGTGCATTCTGAATATGCCGTTTCATATACCATCATCTTTCCATGTACATTACAAAGGCTTGAAGCGTAATGACAAAAATGACCATTTTTTTTTATTTGTTTGCTCTTTTAATTCACACTGAAATACAGAACAGCTGGACGGGATTTTTTCAAAGGCCACTTTACTCTTTCTAAGTGGATCTTCTCTACCTGCTCCCAGTAGAGCTGAGCAGAACATCGCTGACATGCTCGAATCACCGCCACGCAAAAGCAATCGTCATTTCCTCCATGGTAACAGTGTTCAAGCTGCTCATGGCAACTTGTTCAAACCTTGTATTCGCATAAAGGAAAGGCTCAATGGCACTTGGTTCCACTGACAGAGTTGTTGCTTTGATTTGAACATCATGCGAATGTGATTATAGTCAGCATGAATTTATATTTGAGATTCGAGACTGAAAAGGACAGTCGTTTGAGAGGCAAAGCAAAGCATTGCATCTTGGGGGAAGATTTTTAAAATATAGAAATTATCTTTGAAATAACGTGCACTGATAAATCATAAACAATAATACATTTTGATATCATGTTGACTGAAAAATATATATAAAAGGACTTCCAGTAGAGAAGCATGGAAGCTGTACTGATGTCTGGAAGTGATTGTTTTCAACATTGTGATTCAAAAGGCCAGATTCTGAGAATAATTTGCAAAAGCAAACTAATTTTAAATGGTTTAAGCAAAACTGATTCTTTATAATGCATTCCTAAGATGTAGGACGAAGCTTATAGAGTACAGTATCTATACTCTCTTTACATAAGCACCACTAACTGTCTCTCTAATTGACTTTAAGGGTATGAAAGGACACTTGATAAACCCCTATCAGAGGGATGATGTTCTGCAGGCTCTGAGAAAGTAACACCAAGGACAGCGAACACAATGGCCTTTAGAAAGATTGCAGTTGCTGAAGAAAGCGTGAGGGAGGCTGAGCTCTGCGCTCATGCTGAAAGGGACAGGCACCGTAAAGAATGTTGTCTGGCGGTAATGGCAAACAATAAAACCAAGGTCTCTGCTTCGGTTTATTGAATTTAGCTTTTCAAAAAAAAAAAAAAAAAGTACTGGAGCTGTAATCCTACAGAAAGAGTGCTTGTTGCCGAGCAAGGCTGGATTAAAAAAACATGTTGCAAAGCGGAAAGTGCATTTGGCTCCATTTTATTATTTTGCAGCATTTGTGTGCAACCAAATCAAGCACCTAATAATGAGGATACCACAATATGATAACTCAAAGCTACTCATTTAGTACATGTAATGTGCCATAAGAAGAGCTTTTCAAATGGAAAGTGTTACACAATCATATTTGGTATGCAAATTTCTAAGGCCTCTAAATTATCAATATGGCCAAAATGTTACTGAAATACTTGCACACATCTACTACAAGCCTTCTGTTGTCTGATTGATAGTTTATTCCTTTTTTTTAGCAAGTAAAATGCCTTTTTGACTATTTGTAAAAATGTCCACCTTCAGCTTATGGCTTTTTTGCTGTGAAAAATGTACAGAGTTTTTATAAATTAAACATAAGAATGTCTGATATATTATTAGTAATATTTCTAGATGAACATTTACTGATCTGAAGCAACTTAGGTTTGATTATCCATAGGTAATTTTCTAGAAATGTGAGTATAAAATATGATCCATCAGACTTTTGAGGAAGGTTTATTTGGTGATCTCTCAATCATCATTGAGTTGAAGTGCATTTTATGTTTTAAAACTAGAGAGCATTTAAATATCATCTTTATCATCAGACATTATTTGGAGATACAGAGTGACGAGATGACTTTTATTAATATACTGTTTAAAAGATCTCATTGATTTAAATCACAAGATGTCAGTAAGATTTCATCTTACTCTGGCCATATTAATGTCAGCAACTGCATTTGGATTATTATTCAGTTTTCAGAGTTTTGGGCCTCTGAATAAAACAGTTTTTTCCCCTTCATATTCTCACTGTCATTCAGTACTATACGAGTCTTAAAAGCCTGATATATGATACTCAACAACAAAAAATGTTTTCATTGTTTAATATTTTATCTAAAGGATACATTTTTGAAAAATTCGATTTTTCATATTCTTCTTGTTATGCGTTCCCTGGCTTGTTCCCCTCTTCACAGGTTTGTCATGGCAGCATCCGTGATCCGCAGGTGTGAGTCGCAGTGAAAGAGGTGAAGATGGAAAGTCCACAAGTGGTTGACAGCAACTCCTTGCTTAAGGCTGTCTACTTGAGTCGTCTCCGTCTCACACGACTACTCCTGGAAGGCGGCGCTTACATAAACGAGAGCAACGAGTGTGGCGAAACACCCCTGATGATCGCCTGCAGGAGCAGGCATACGGACCACCTAAGTGTTTCCAAGGTTAAAATGGTGGGGTACCTGCTTGAAAGTGGAGCTGACCCGAACATCCAGGATAAGAGTGGGAAGACTGCTTTAATGCACGCCTGCTTGGAGCAAGCTGGTTCTGAGGTGGTGGCTTTGCTCTTGGGTAGCGGAGCGGACCCATGTCTTGAGGACCACACTGGTTCTTCGGCTCTGATATACGCCATCAATGCCAGCGATCAAGCAACTCTTAAAATGTTGATAGATGCATGCAAAGCCAGAGGAAAAGAAGTTATCATCATCACCCCTGATAAACTTGCATGTGGAAGGCAAATGGCAAAACAGTATCTATCCATTCCTCCACTTGCAATGGTGGAACAATGGGACAATCAAAACTCCACCATCGTTCCCTGTGCTTCTCCATCTGATATTCTCCTCAGTACATCTCCACATGGGACTCTTTCTTCTAGTCCTACAGAGCATATGTTTTCCTTCCAGGACTTGCAAAGCATGACGAATTCGCAGCCAACCTCTCCATCCCACCAGGCTCCCCTGGTGCACAGTCGAGTGAGCAAACTCCACAATCTCCAAAGATTACACTCCGAGCCTTGGCTGAAAATCCCGCAGTCTCTTCTGGCCCAACAGTACGCCAAAACGACCTCGGCTACGGAGGAACTCCCGGACATCACACTCGAAGAGGAGTTAACTTTCAAAATGAAGAGATTGGCTTTCGGTAATACACCGCTATCACGTCATTCCAGTGTTGATTTGAAAGAAGCCAGTCAAACTCTAAGTCGAGGAAGCAATCGTGACGGTCTGAGACCGGAAGGAGCACTGTGCCGAAACATGTCCTTTGATAGCTTATCGTCCTTGCACTCTTTATCCCATCCCAATCTTCATTGCAAAAGCAGCGTGGAAGCTTTACCTGCTGATAAGGATCCGGGCAAATCCCTGCCAAATCTGGCTGTATCCAGTCTCCGCAACATCATCCAGAGAAGGCAACTAGGAATGGACCACTACAGCTCGGATTCTCAACTATCAGTGAGGCTTGCCAACTCACCAGAAGACCGTAAAGGACATCTGGAGAAGAGAAAGCTTGCCAACTCACGTTCTCCTACCTTGGTAGGCTCCAGGGAATCCCTTGAGAACGCTTCGTTGACGCACCTGCACAGGAGGAATCCAATTAGCTTCGAGCGTCGGGGCTCTGGGGCGCTTTTGGATCCCATTTCCCATCCTCGAGCTGGTTTCCTCCCTCCTCTAAACCAGCATGCTCTGATCCCAAACATCACTGGAAGCGTAAATTCAAGCAGCATTGGCTCCAGCAACAAAGCAGTTTGTGGCGTAGCAGCAGCAGGGACGAAGCCTTGCATACCCTCGGCTCCTGCAGGTTTTCCTAAGGATCTCAAGACTAGGAGGATGCTGCTAAGAAGACACTCAATGCAAACTGAACAGCTCAAGCGGGTTGGTGACTTCACAGAGATTTTTGGACACTGAATGGTTGCAACTATTACTAAACAGTTTGACAGAAAGGCGCCAATTTGCACTGACAATAATTCATTGCTGGTTGGTGAAACTGAACAAATATCATCTATTATCTTGCGTCTAAGCTAAAATGAACAATTTTAGCAGTGCATCCTTAAGGTGCGGTCACATATACCGTTGCTCAGCAAAATCAAGTCATTACAATAGGAACCTAAACGATCGAATGCTGACCAACAGAATGCTGCTTGGTTTGAAAGTGACTACTGTGTGAGCTGTGCTTCATATATCTCTATGCTATTGACAATGGACCTTTTTGTTGCCCATGAAATTTCACTAATGTGACCGCACCCTACAATTAAAGACAATTTAATAGAAATGAATGGTTAAGAATGTGGCTAGTGCTTCAATGTCTAAGAAAACAGGATACAAATGACATGTAGGTTTGAAATAAACAATTCAACCGGTGGTTGAGGCATTAATGGCATAGAAAATCAGCTTGTCAACATACAAATTCATTCGTAATACATTTGAGTAATTGTGTATAGAACATACTTTTGCTTGTGTATTGTTTGATGCTCACAATGTCTTTAAAAAAAACACAATCAATTGCAACAGAATTGTATATTGTGAGCAGTAAATGTGCAGAAAATCACTCAATTTCTCTAAACAACAAAACAAAAGGATGTTAGAAATACATGTTGTCATAAATGAGCATGAGACAATGAATTTGCATATTTATCAAAATTTTATTCTACATGAGATACATATTAGAAATGAATGTTGTTTTGAAGAACATCCTTAGGTCCCATACCAGATAATTAATCAAATAAATCTGGTTTTCATGAATAAATAGATATACATTATGCACACTGGTACATCTTAATAGCTTTTTGTAAAGCATAAAAAATACTTTAATTGTGATGATTTAATTAATCAGTAACAGTGAGAAAATAATTTAACTCCCAAAGTATTCCACAAAGCACGAATATAAGTGAGAAGATCTGAGATGTCTAAAATGCTTGACTCGTTTCAGACATTTAATCTCAATCCTTCCGTAACAATCATCTGTATTTTACGAATATTTGTATTTGGTTTGTGACAGAATTATAGAAGCCTTCAGATTATTTAAATATACAAGTCAATATATCAAATAAACTGATTCATTACTGTTTATGTTGTGTTTTATCACTATTAATAAAAATGAAATAAAAAATAAGGAACAATCACTCGTCTTGTATTTCATTTCACCAATCACAGTAAAAGTGCATTTTGCAAATTAATACATTTAGATTTTTGTTCAGATGCAGCTTTTAAAAAATAATGATTTTAGAAACTTGGCATGAACATAATCTTAATTCATAAGGGGTTTTGCTTTGTTTTGCAGGTTTAACATTTAAAGCTGAATGCTGAATGTCTAGTGAACAGAGGAATAAAGGTTATTGCATTTATAAAATGGCTGCTTAATTCAGAAACATCATCCAGCATAATTTATTAGGAATGAGTTTTCATGAGATTCTTCAATCTGTCAAACTCATTAAAAGTAACAGATACTTTACCCTCTGTAATATAGTGAGAACCAGTGCTTAATTTGTAAATCATAAGGTGCCGGAATAATAAAAATAACATGCCATGTACTCAAATCCCTATTTAGGCTAATTTTAGGCTACTCGCATTCATTTATTAGTTACTCAAATCACATAAATAATATATTTTCCAATCAAAAAGGCAACATTTGACAAAAGAGGTCAAGTACTTCAGTGCCAGTCTTTTAACATTTCTATCGTAAGATATGCCAGACATTAATTTAATAAACATTTAATGATTCAATGTTTAGCTGCTTGCATCTTACCTCGCGCTCTTTCTGCATTAAAACTTAAGCATCATGCTAGATGTCATGCTCACAGTCTTTGATTTTATTGGCCGTTTTAATAATTTTGACATTGGCGAGCGCTGTAATTAGAGGCAGACCAGACTGACAAATTAAGTTTAAACTTTTTGACATCCTAACAACATACAGAGTACAGCTCAATGGAGAGTAGCAGAGCAAAATAAAGAATATCAAATACAGGGGATGTGTCATTCACATTCTCTATTGATATTGCGTTAATGTAAATAGCATATTTATGGCCGGGAGGGATAAAAAGACATGGTAGTTTCTTCACTGTTAGCATTTGTATTGCTAATCTTTCCCTTTCTGTCACTACGACCAATATTCTGTTTAACTCTCGTCAGGAGCGTCCATAAACGCCTCTTCCGGCGAGAGATACTGGATCCGCACAAAAAGATCACAAATTAAGCACTGGTGAGGAAATTTGGCATCTTCATTAACTGGCATAATGGTTGGCCGACCAAAGTTTAAATATCATGGAAAGTGTTCAGATGTGTTGAGATTTTTTACAGGCCAACTTTAAAAGCCATATTTTTTATTTCCTGGTTAGTCACACCAACAACACATCTGTAGTGTTAATAGTCGGGGCTGTTATTCAGCTTGTCCAGTAAAATGAATTAAAAGTAATTTAAAGCCAATAAAGCCATTTAAAGGTTTCAATAAAAGACCTTTTCTTTAATCAACACAGTAGTGTGAAAATAATGATATAAATGTTAAAGCAAATTGTTTTATAGAGATGATTTTTACAGTCTTTTTCCTTTACACTGAACTGTATTTTTGGTAAATATATGTGGTTTGAAACGAAACAACCAACAATTTTTTTATAAGCATGACATCGAGTTATACACTCAACTGCGCTTTTTTTGGGTTATAATTGCAGAATGAGTTATGCTTTGTAATTGTAACGTCCTATCAAAAATATCACCTTTAATCAACACATGAACTGTTCCAAAAATAGTATTTGAGCTTAATAAAAGCTTAATTGAATTAGCAGATGATTTCATCTATACGTTTTAAATATTCAAACTGAGGAGTATTTTACAGATCGAGGAACATTGACTAATCATAAGACGCAGTACTTAGAAAGTACAATAATCAGTACATAAAATCTTCATATGGATTCTTACGTCCACACGAAGCTACTTCATATGGTAACAGTAAATTATGACGGATGGAAAAAAACACCGCAGATTCCAGCTCAGAAAAACGGACGTTAAATTTGAGAAACGCAGGACTTCACATGCTCGGTCATGGTGTGCGCAATCAAGTAATGATTATAATTCTCTGTATATCTGACATCATAGTCATACAAAAACAATTGAGTTTTGAGTTCAAACCAACATTCATTGACCAGCATCCACCCAACAGACCCCGGAAACACAACCGAAGAAGCACAGCACAGTTCTCACGTTTTTATTTTTGTTGTTGCTGATCCAAGACCTCTGCTTTATTCTAAAGGATCGCTAATATAGTTCCACTTTAGTCAAGTGCTTTTTAATTTTCTCTAAAATGCATCAAACTCTCCATACCTTGTCAGAAATCAGATAAGGAGTTTCTATGCATCTGCAACTCATCGGTTACGAATGTGAAGGTTCCACTGGCTGCCTTTGATTGGAAAGTCAGCAGCGTTCAAATGCTCATTGAGATGTAGAAGAAAAACTCCATGTCCATGGTCTGATGGGGGACACAGGAGCTTCCTCCGTGGATGACGGGAATCAGAGCCCCGTCCAGATCGTTCATATACTTCTGAGGCAGGAGGTGGCCACTAGAGCCAGCCTGGTACTCAACCTACAAAAAAACACAATCAGTGGATTACAAATGCATCTTATGTATTTAATCTACATACTACAGTGTCTTGAGAGTTACTAATGGAGGAGTGATGCCAGTAACAAACCATTTTTTTCCGAAAAGCAGTAGTGAAAAATGTTAAATGTCACCTTATACTGGCCCGCAGACTTAAAACTCTGAATCAAATGCTCAAGTCTCAAGATTCATTTCAGTGAACCGGTTCTTTCAGGTGGTTTCAATGAACTGAGTTAAAGGTGAACTATGCAGATTTTTTACCTTAATTGAACAGCTTCGGAGTCATTGGAATGGTTATATTACTTTTTTCGGATTGAATGGTGGTCGTCTCGCACCCCCCTATCGCCTGTGAGCGGAAAAACCACACTTGCAACTTTGAGCCGGCGAGCCGCAGCGTCAGGAAGTATCGCGTGATATCGGGTCTCGCGATGTAACAGATTGCTTTACGGCAAAAAAGATCTGCTAAAATTCTGTCATTATTGCGCTCCCTCACGCATCACATACATCAACAATCTATGAAACGGCCTCTTTGATAGACACTAGCACGCGCAAGTGAATCATGGCAGGGTCGACTAAGAAAATGTGGTCGGAAGAGTCAAGAAAAGGAAACAGGAAACTGACCGCGTGAGGAACCGGACAAGAGTCTCACTCGGTCAGGCTTTCACTTAAAATAGGATAAGAATGAGCATCAAACAGAAATAATCCGGCGCCGCATACATGAGGGGTTCGAGGCGCACATACAATACAGACAGTTCAGCAGGGCGCACGCAGCTCTTAAAGGGGCCACACCTTATTTCCACTCGTTACAGCGTCCATCCTACTGAACAGGTACTGGTATACAGGGGAAGGGGATCCGGCTGTGAGTGTGAGCCATCTCTGCGTGAGTGCTATTCACGACAGTACAAGTACTCCACAGCGACTCTAGGGGTCGCTGTTTGACAAAAACGGAATTCCTACATAGTGTATCTTTAAATGTTGAATCAAGCGGTTTAATACAAACATTGATCTGCCAACAATGTTTACAGCAATCAAATTTGTTCACAGAACCTCAAACATACTTGCTTGATGCGTGAGAACCAATGAGGTTCATTCTCGCGTGTTATGCAGCACGTTTGAGCTTCCGCAAAAAACAATGAGGTTTGTTCTTGCACGTCAAGCGATTACGGTTCAGCTTTTGTCCGCTGATCAAAGTTTATATGTGAATAAAAGCCTAAGTTAAATCAATTTAAAAATAAAGCGATCGAGTCTCTTCAGAAGACTTGGATTAAATAACTCCAGTCATAGATTTCTCTCACAATTTCTTTTGAACCGTTAGTTTTTTGGGTGAATAGACCCTCAATGGAGGGTCAGAAATTACTCAGATTTCATTAAAATATCTTAATTTGTGTTCAGAAGATGAACGAAAGTCTTATGAGTTTGGAACGACACGAGGGTGAGTAATTGATCAGACAATTTTTGGGAAAA